AGTAGTACCGTCAAGATATGATAATCTAATAAATAAATCTTTAAAATTAGAACCATCCAGAAAATCTTTCACAACATATGACAGACCACAAAGACCTGCATCTAGATACAGCCAACATCCTGAACCACAAATTCAAGGACTATTGAGAACATCTGAAAACATAACTATTCCTCAATATAAACCTGCCCAGGATGAACCTGATAAATCAGAATTTCAAATATTAACCCATACAGAAGAAAGAAAACTAGATAAAAGTCATATTACTAATGACTATTTATTTGAGAGAAATGCAAGTATACGTACATGGTATCTAAATACATTCGAACCTAGATTAGTAGAATTATTCCATAAAAAGTTTAATAAATTTATTAAAAAGGAGAAAACAACAATATGTTTCTTTGATTGGTTAAGAAATATATGCAGTGATGAAAATATTGAAATACCTGACTTTGAAGTCAATACTCTTGAATCTCAATTCACAAAATTCAATACTACTAGTGGCAAAGAAATCACTTGTATGCATCCTCCAGAACAAAGTCTAACCATTAAAAGGGTTAGTAAACAACTCCCCGAAAAAGATACAGGGGAATCAAGTACTTCTACTCAAATAGTTGTATATGAAACAGCAGCAACCCCATATAAATTAACTACTTCAGATGTCACAAGATTTGACTTACTTCTTCATATAATTGAACAAAATAATTATACGAATCTATACCAACAAACAATAAGCAAACAAACAGTACGAATTGAAAATCTTTTATCTCTAACTCCATCCATTCCTGTACCAAAACAGTTACTATTTAAACCTCCTCCTGAGCTAAATAAAGACAAATTTCTTATCGGAGATGATAATAAAACATTAATGGATCAATTAATATCAAAATTATCGAAACTTGATATTACAAATAAAGCCAAAGAAAAGGTTCCTGAACATGAAACCTTAATGCTTCAGGAAGAATTTGATGAATCGATGGATGATACAATTGAAAATAGAGAACAAGCATTTAATCAGTCTCTAACATCTAGTTCACCTATAGATGAAATCAAAAGAATTGTATATTCCAAATATTGGAAACTCGCAACAGCTTTACCATATCATAGAAGACCAATACCTGTTGACATCCAATTTGAGGAAGCTTTCATATCCAATACTTCTTCCTATTCGGGATGAACTTTAGTAAACTGGAATATAGATGGAATATCTGAACATCAAATCTTAGATACCATTAGACATATGACTATGTATGCATCTGCATGCAAAATGGTAGAAACCCATGATCAAGAAATAACAAAAGCTATAATCTGTGGTTTTACAGGATGGTTACGTGGATGGTGGGATTTCCATCTTCCAGAATCTATTAAAAAATAAATATTAAATAATACAAGACAATGGACTGCCAAAATGAACAAAACCAAGATGTCCTTTATACAGAGAGTGATGCAGTAAATACACTAATCTATACTCTTACTCTTTATTTTATAGAAAATACAGCTGTCTTAGCATCTAGATCCAAAGATCTTTTATCTAATTTAAGATGTCCGACTCTATCCCATTACAAATGGTATAAAGATGTATTCTTTTCCCGTTTATTACTAAGAGAAGATAGCCAGCTTGAACACTGGAAAGAAAAATTCATAGCTGGGTTACCTTATTTATTCGCTGAGAAAGTAAAAGAACGTCTTAAAAATAAAAATGGTGGTTTAATAAATTATTCTAAATATACGTTAGGAGAAGTATCTGCTGAAATATGTACTGAAGGACTAGCATTATGCAAGATATGAAACTAAAAAAACAACTTGATAAACAAAAGATGGCTGGTAGAAAAGAATTAGGTGATTTTTGTGAACAATTTGGTTACCATATAGAAAAAGTAAAATTCATAAATCTCATAAAAAAATACATAGATCTAACCAAAAAGAAAAATATCATTCTAAGAAATATAAACATAGAGAAAAAAGAGATAAATTTATCAAACGATTTGCTCCCAAATATTCTGCTTCTAAGAAAAAAGGCAAAAGAAAATTACCTGTCTGTTATAAATGTGGTAAAATTGGCCATTATAAAAGCCAATGTAAAGCCAAAAAGAAAATCGAAACTCTTATATTAGATGAATGTTTAAGAAATAATCTATTTGACCTATTACAAATATATAATTCCTCTACTAGTTCTGATACAGATTCTCAATCCAGTAGTGATATGTCATTACTAGGAAATATACAAGATGAAAATCTTATTTGGGCAGATACATCAGATGAATCTGATAATGATCTATGCGAACAATGCTCTGGCAAAACTCCAACTTGTTCTGGTAAAATTCCAACACAATCTTCATACCCTGACAAAAGAAGATAATTTTATTCTAGATCTGATAGAGAAAATATCTAATCCTGATGACAAAAGGCAGGTTATCACACAATTTATTAATTTAACTAAAGAAAAAGATAAACTAGTTTACGTTGATCAAACCTTCAGGTGAATACAACTTCTCTCCTATAATGAAAATAATCAGTCAACATGAAGCTATTCATAAAGAACCCACTATTGCTGAACTCAAAACAGAGGTGAATAATATTAAAATTGAAGTATCCCAATTAAAAAATAGGGTACAAATTTTAGAATTACTAAATAATACTTCAGATGAAGTAACTGAAAATGATGATATTGAATTTGATAATTTAGTTCATACTTATAATCTTAAAAATAAACCCGAATCTTCAAGAGTCAAAATAAAGGAAGGCAATACTACATCCTTAAATTTACTTAATAAAGTGATTACTAAAAAATGGTTTGTATTAGTCAAAATCGTAGTCAATAATGAGTATGACTTCCAATCTTTAGCCTTAATAGACTCTGGCGCAGATTTAAACTGTCTCAATGAAGGATTAGTACCTACTAAATCCCAATTAAAAAATAGAATACAAATTTTAGAATTACAAAATAATATTTTAGATGAAGTAACTGAAAATGATGATATTGAATTTGATAATTTAGTCCATACTTATAGTCTTAAAAATAAACCTGAATCTTCAAGAGTCAAACTAAAGGAAGACAATACTACATCCTTAAATTTACTTAATAAAGTGATTACTCAAAAATGGTTTGTATTAGTCAAAATCTTAGTCAATAATGAGTATGACTTCCAATCTTTAGCCTTAATAGACTCTGGCGCAGATTTAAACCGTCGCAATGAAGGATTAGTACCTACTAAATATTTTGATAAAACGACTCAAATTTAAACACTGCTGATGGTAGTAGATTATATATTAAATATAAATTATCAAATACTATGATCTGCAATAATGGACATTGTTTTCCAACGCCTTTTATCATGGTTAATGGATTAAGTCAAGTTGTTATCCTTGGTGTACCTTTTCTAACTTTACTTTATCTCATGATAATTACTCATACAGGAATAGAAACATAAATAAACAATACTACAATCCAATTTGAATTCTTAGATTAACCTAAAATCAAAAAAATCAATACTGTCAAAACAATTATTAAACAAAAGGAACATTTTTTATGTTCTTTACAAACAGAAATCAAACATAAAATAATATGTGAAAACTTACAAACCTCTGAATTAATGCAGAAAATACAGTCCCTAAAGACATTAATTGAAAAAGAAATATGTAATGATTTACCTAATACATTTTGGAATAGGAAGCAACATATTATTAGTTTACCTTATTAGCCTCATTTTGATGAAAAGAAAATACCAACAAAGGCTAGACTAATTCAAATAAATAGTGAATTACTACAAACATGCAAAACTGAAATAGATGACTTAATCTAGAAACAACTAATAAGCCCTAGTCAATCTCCTTGGAGTTGCTCAGCGTTTTATGTAAATAAGAATGCTGAAAAAGAAAGAGGAGTTCCTCGACTAGTTATAAATTATAAACCTCTTAATAAAGTTTTACAATGGATTAGATATCCAATTCCTAATAAAAAAGATTTATTGAACAGACTTGTCAATACAGTCAGTTTTTCTAAATTTGATATGAAATCATGTTTTTGGCAAATACAAATTAAAGAATAAGATAAATATAAAACAACATTTAATGTACCATTTGGCCAATTTGAATGGAATGTCATGCTTTTTAGTCTAAAAAATGTTCCATCTGAATTTCAAAAAATAATGAATGATGTATTCAATCCTTATCATAAATTTATGATAGTCTACAATGATGATGTCTTAATATTCTCTGATTCTATTGATCAACATTTTAAACATCTTAACACTTTTATCAATACAGTGAAACATGCTGGGTTAGTTGTTTCTGCTAAAAAAATTAATTTATTTCAAACCAAAATCAGATTTTTAAGACATAATATTAACCAAGGTACTATCATTCCCATTGATAGATCTATTTTATTTGCTGATAAATTCCCTGATAAAATCCTAGATAAAACCGAACTTCAAAGATTTTTAGGATGTTTAAATTGTATTAGTGATTTCTATAAAAATCTTACTATTGATGCAAAACCTTTATATGATAGACTAAATAAGAATCCTCCACCTTGGACGGATCTTCATACTAATGCAGTTCAACGACTCAAACTAAAAGCTAAAGAATTACCTTGTTTAACTTTACCTAACCCTACTGTGTTCAAAATAATTGAATGTGATGCCTCTGAACTCGGTTTAGGAGGAATATTAAAACAACAAATTGATTCTCAAGAACAACTCATTCGCTTTACTTCCAAAGCTTGGAATCCTACTCAAAAGAATTATTCCCCTGTCAAAAAAGAATTATTAGCTATTATACATTGTGTAACTAAATTTCAAAGTGATATTCTTAACCAACATTTTTTAATACGCACTGATTGTAAAGCTGCAAAAGATATTATGTAAAAAGATGTTCATAATCTTGTTTCCAAAAAACGTTTTGCTCGCTGGTAAGCCATTTTATCTGTTTTTGACTTTTTCATTGAACATCTTCACGTTACCTCTAACTCTTTGCCTGATTTTCTTACCCGTGAATTTTTGCAGGGGGGGCCGTACCTTACTACGTCTTCCACCTGAAGAACCACTCCCTTACGGTTTGCAAAGCATCGTCAATATACATTGATCTGGAAGAAGAGGGTGATTTATGTGGGATTTAGGCTGGAGAGAAAGCAAGACTTGGTGTATTATGCTTTAGACTTTGAATATAATATTTTGGGACATTGGTAGTTCGTAGTGGAGACATGGGCTGTATTGGTAAAAAAAGTTGGCTAAGCACAGGGAGCTCAGATGGATGCAAAGGAACTAAGTCCATGGGGGCTTTTTGTTTAGAGTTTTGAGATGTATTAGTATGCATATTCTTATTCCAATGAAAAAGTTGCAAAAATTTTTATTAGAAATCTTCCTGATAAAGCTGTTGGACAAACTAGTAATACTCTAAGGATTAAGAATAAAGAAGAAGTAATTATAAATGATATTGAAAATCAAATACAAATTGGAATATACCAAAAGTACCTATATCTAAGGAACATTCGATTTAAAAATAGGATATGCTATAAAAACTGTAGAACAGACCTTGTTTGTTACCAGTAACCAGGAAGACTTTCAACTTCTATCAAATAAAATATTACAAGTACATAAAATAAAAATTATAAATATCTACATATTGGGTTAATACAAATAACAATTAAACCATTAACAAGATTAGGTCTTAACAATTCTGTTCTTGTATGCCTAAGAGATACAAGACATAATAGGTTTTCTAATTCATTACTTGGAATGGTGGAATCCAGTCTTTGAGTGGACCGATATATTTTAATTGTTTCCCTAATTATTCTGTGTCTTTAACAGATCCTAATATATTAAATGTTTTATCCTTAAATCTTAAAACACAAGGACTTGATATGATGCAAGGATCCCAAAATATTGCAATAATTTATCGTATTTATTATAAAATTATGACAATCCTATGTCCTAATGTTCTTCAAATAGATACAAGAGGTCAAACTATACTATTTCAAACTAATATAGAAAAATCCAACACTATAGTTCCAAAAACAATATCTTGGTCTGACATAAGACTACCAGAATCATGGTTAATACACAATGATAACCAACCATCGCAAATTTCAGTTCAAAATATTCCTGACAGGATTGTTGAATATATTAATGGAAATATTGAGATACAATTTCCAAATCACCTAAGTCGTTCTTATCAGGACGATTCAGTAGTATCGTCAAGATATGATAATCCAATAAATGAATCTTTAAAATTAGAACCATCCAGAAAATCTGTCACAACATATGACAGACCACAAAGACCTGCATCTAGAAACAACCAACATCCTGAACCACAAATTCAAGGACTATTGAGAACATATGAAAATATAATTATTCCTCAATATAAACCTGCCCAGGATGAGCCTGATAAATCAGAATTTCAAATATTAACCCATACAGAAGAAAGAAAACTAGATAAAAGTTATATTACTAATGACTATTTATCTGAGAGAAATGCAAGTATATGTACATGGTATTAGATACATTCGAACCTATATTAGTAGAATTATTCCATAAAAAGTTTAATAAATTTATTAAAAAGGAGAAAACAACAATATGTTTCTTTGATTGTTTAAGAAACGCGCTAAGATCTACCAGTTTTTCCAAACAAATTTTTGCTCGTTGGCAAGCTATTTTATCTGCTTTTGACTTTTCCATTGAACATCTTCACGGTACCTCTAACTCTTTCCCTGATTTTCTTACCCATGAATTTTTGCAGGGGGGCCGTACCTTACCACCTCGTTCACCTGAAGAACCACTCCATTACGGTTTGCAACTTTTTTATAGGAATAAGAATATGCATACTAATACATCTCAAAACTCTAAACAAAAAACCCCCATGGACTTAGTTTCTATGCATCCATCTGAGCTCCTTGTGCTCAGCCAACCTTTTTTTACCAATACAGCCCATGTCTCCACTACGATCTACCAATGTCCCAGAATATTATATTCAAAGTCCAAAGCATAATACACAAAGTCCTGCTTTCTCTCCAACCCAAATCCCACATAAATCACCCTCTTCTTCCATATCAGTGTATATTGACAATGCTTTTATTGCAGACATAGTCCTTGATGATAGACATGTCCAAATCAACCCAAATAAATTAACTCCCCTATATCTTCAAAACCAATTAAGCCCTCTTAATGGTATCAAGGTTAGAGAATGGTATGAGTCTGTTTTAATGGAAACCAGATCAGTTTCAATTGTCCATTTTTTCCAAGGTAATACCAATTTATATGCTTATTCAAAGTTACAAATAAAAAAGTTATTGACATATGAATATTGGGGTAATAACCCCACTCAGGGAAAAAAATTATTAAATACAGAATACCAATACAAATATTACAGATATGCTGAATATCTTGAAGCTTGGCATAAAATATTCTTCTACCAAAATCCAAATAATTCTCACTCTTGGTATATCCAGTTTAAAATGGCTATATTTGAACGATTTCCCAATTGGTTCCGTCATTGGTTCCTTATTTGGGGATCCTCAACCCAAATACTACCTGATTCCTTCCAAGCTTTCCAACAAAATTCTGTGACTATAATACTTGTTCAGATCAACTAGACTACCATCTGTACTTCATGGCCATTTATCAGATCCCATGGATTGTAAAATGGGAGTATGCTATTAATGAAAATACTTCGAATACTTATGAATACATTCCCTGTCTGGGAAAAAATATAAAAATTAAATGGTGGGATATATATAGCACTGACCCACAATCTTTTTCACTCAAGAGGATTCCTCCTTCCTCGGAGTTCTGTTATAATACTACTGAGAATAATACTGTTACTCTTAATACATTTTCTTCTTATATGAAAAAGATAAAACAAGCTCATCCCCATGCTACACTAGAAGAAATAGAACAACAACTTTTTGCAATATTTGCTGACCCTTCTACATTGCCTACAACATCAGAAGAAACTGTCCAAACTGGTAATCCTCTCCTCGAAGAATTTAGCCAAAGGCCCAAAAACTGACGACTCGGGCCATTTGACAAATCTTATCCTTATCCTTTATTCTGATATGACTCCTTAAAGTAGATTCCTTATCTTTACTTTATTCCGATATGACTCAAAGCAAATTCTTTTTGTTTAACGAGACCCCAACCACAGTGAATATTATTCCCTTACATAATGCACCATTGCCACGTGTTTGATGAGACCCCAACTACAGTGAACAATATTCCCTTACACAGTGCACTATTGCTCCTCACACACCATCAACTGCCACGTCGCCCAATCACCACGCGCCATCAGCCGACAAGTCGCCTCCATCGACCATCACCTTATCCAGCCATATGATCCATCTCCCTTGGGATAAGGATAAGCAACAGCAGCATGCCTGCAGCCGTCCACTTGGCAACCATCTACACAAACCTGCGCCTATAAATACATCTTCCCCAGATAGACAACAAAGGTCGAATTTCAAGGAAGTCATACGAGAAGACCTTCTTCATCACTCCTCTCTGAGTCACCCATCTCTTATTCCTCTTTGCAATTCTCCTTCTTTACTACTGTAAATTCTCATACAGTAGATAGTTTTCATAACAGTCCTGTATAATGGAATCAAAGTTGGTAACCTCTATTACTTTGTACTTTTAAATGTGTGATTGTAATATCTCTTCTCTTCCCTCTTACTGTCCTTACGAATGGAGTTTCTTCTCCAGTTATTGTATTTGTAAACAGTGAGTTTTTATATGATCTATGAGTTTTTATGATCTATCTGTTTATTCTTAATGCAATTTAAATTAGTATTCAGTATTAAAATCAGAAATTCAATCCATACTTCTTGGATTATCTTAGATATTTCTGTAATCTCTGCGGTCTTCATAATATTCTTATTCTGTTATTACATAGGAATTTTACAACAATTAAGTAACTACAATTATGCTCTATTTATGTTTTTACGGTAAATTATGCTCTATTCATGTTTTTAAGTTTTAAGGTAGTAATCTAAACTGGTAGATCTTAGCGCGTTTCAATGTATAATAGCTAATAATCCTTTTTTTAAAGTGGAATAATTCTTTTGAGTAGGATTCCAAGCTTTGGAAGTAAAGCGAATGAGTTGTTCTTGAGAATCAATTTGTTGTTTTAATATTCCTCCTAAACCGAGTTCAGAGGCATCACATTCAATTATTTTGAACGCAATAGGGTTAGGTAAAGTTAAACAAGGTAATTCTTTAGCTTTTAGTTTGAGTCGTTGAACTGCATTAGTATGAAGATCCATCCAAGGTGGAGGATTCTTTTTGAGTCTATCATATAAAGGTTTTGCATCAATAGCAAGATTTTTATAGAAATCACTAATATAATTTAAACATCCTAAAAATCTTTGAAGTTTGGTTTTATCTAGGATTTTATCAGGGAATTTATCAGCAAATAAAATAGATCTATCAATGGGAATGATAGTGCCTAGGTTAATATTATGTCTTAAAAATCTGATTTTGGTTTGAAATAAATTAATTTTTTTAGCAGAAACAACTAACCCAGCATGTTTCACTGTATTAATAAAAGTGTTAAGATGTTTAAAATGTTGATCAATAGAATCAGAAAATATTAAGACATCATTAATGTAGACAATCATAAATTTATGATAAGGATTGAATACATCATTCATTATTTTTTGAATTCAGATGGAGCATTTTTTAGACCAAAAGGCATGACATTCTATTCAAATTGGCCAAATGGTACATTAAATACTGTTTTATATTTATCTTCTTCTTTAATTTGTATTTGCCAAAAACCTGATTTCATATCAAATTTAGAAAAAATGACTGCATTGACAAGTCTGTCTAATAAATCTTTTTTATTAGGAATTGGATATCTAATCCATTGTAAAACTTTATTAAGAGGTTTATAATTTATAACTAGTCGAGGAACTCCTCTTTCTTTTTCAACATTCTTATTTACATAAAACGCTGAGCAACTCTAAGGAGATTGACTAGGTCTTATTAGTTGTTTTTGGATTAAGTCATCTATTTCAGTTTTGCATGTTTGTAGTAATTCACTGTTCATTTGAATTGGTCTAGCCTTTGTTGGTATTTTCTTTTCATCAAAATCAGGCTCATAAGGTAAACTAATAATATGTTGTTTCCTATTTAAGAATGCATTAGGTAAATCATGACATATTTCCTTTTCAATTAATGTCTTTAGGGACTGTATTTTCTGCATTAATTCAGAGGTTTGTAATTTTTCACATATTATTTTATGTTTGATTTCTGTTTGTAAAGAACATAAAAAATGTTCCTTTTGTTTAATAATTGTTTTGACA